GGAGCAACCCATAGAGTGTTGGCACGACTTCCCAGGTATAACACTATCGTCACCAAACGAATATGTTTCCCTCTGGGGATATGACGCTTTATTGGCGTCTTCAAAAGTCGCCCGTCTAAGTTTACGCTTTTGCGAGCGTGAAAACTTAACGGGCTCCTGAACTTCAACCCGCAATCCAATGCGGTCGGTAACAGGGGCTTTCCCTTTGTTATCTTTCTTAGGGGGATTGGTTCGACCCCCAGTCTGGATTGTTGTTTGGGGGACCTTTCAACGGTCCCAATCGCTCCTTGACGGGTGCTTTATCTCGATCTCCAGGTAGAGGACCGAGGCGAGCCTTCAAAGGGACTCTGGACTTGGCGAGATCCACGTTACCATTCGGCTTCATCGGAGATGCGGGAACAGAGGAGACGGGATCTGAAATTGACGAAGCTTGGATAGTAACTTCGTTCATCTTCGCCTTAGGCGTTGGCTTTGCCTTCGGCATCCACACTTGTTTGCGCTTGGGCGGTTTCTTCACTGCTTCTTCCTTCTGCATTTCTTCTGCTTTCTGCAAAAGAAGCTGGGCATGCGCGAACAACGCGCAACGCTTCTTGATTCGCTCTTCGAGGGTGGAGCGGGTCCTCTTGACACGAACCCATTCGTTCGTTTCTGTCTTGAAGGAGGAGTTGGTTGTTCGCCGTTGTTGCACCTGGCGCTGCCTGGACTTTAGATCCTCATCGTAGCGGATCCCGTCCATCGACTCCGAAGCCTTGGCTAATTGCCGCGCAAGGCGTTGAAACCGTCTTTGGCGCGCCCTCTTTGACAAGGTTGGAACGCCTTCAGCAGTTGTCTTCACGGCGGAGGGAAGATCTGGATCTGCAGCTTCGACCACGTTGGACGTCGTAGGAGCGTCGCGGGGAGTAAGTGCAGTTACGACGAGGGGATCTCGGATCTTCGAGCCGGAGGTCCCGCGAACATTTCTGGAAGAGGATGCCTTCCTGCGCATGTTTGGAGAGGCGGATCTGGAGTAGGAGGAAGAGAGGTACTCTTCAAACTTCTGTTGATCGAATTCGTATTCGATCTCTTCATTCACCCGGATCTTGAATGCCGGTTGCGTCACGACAGCCTCGGTAGCGAGGCTGTTGGCTCCCACTGTGGTCGTCAGTTTGTTTTCGGTAAAAGTTGCCTTCATTGTTGAATTCATTATAATCTGGATTGCTTACAAAGAATTCAAAATTTTCAATAAAAAGAATAAGAAAAATGAAAGATTACAACTTTTCGAAAATAACACAAGATCTGTTCGTCGTTTCTTGCTTGCGTGGGTCTTTAGCCGGTGACGGGGACGTAGATATCCGTGGACTACCTGGCAATCAGATCAGGTCCAGAACTTCGTCGATTCGCGGAGGAATCTAGAAGCAGAAGCGCCTATCTCGACAACAGCGAGATAATTGCTCTTCTTAGAATTACCACAACGGGATAATACTAAGGATTGGATGCTGGTGATGCAGATCTGATGATTCTCGATCTCTTGCGTTGAAGAACTTGATCACTCTTCAACCGGCAAGGCTTCGCCAATTTTTCAAAACTCCAGATCTGTAAAAATGAGGCTCCAGGGTTCATATTTATAGGCACGGGACGAATCTGAGTTGGAGATACCCTCTGGTGTCTCAACCTGAGCCGAGACACCTAAGGGTGTCTCGGCCTTAGCTGAGACACCTTAGGGTGTCTCGTTGGTCCGAGACACACCGTTGTGCCTATTTGTCCGTTTCCGCTGTAAATTCTTCGTCTGAACTCGGATTTGAGTGGTTCGAAGTGCGTTGGAAAGCCGACGAGGAGTTCTATCAGCTCCGATGGTTGGATCATCTATAGAATGAATGAGACACGAAGGGCATTGTTCCTTTTGTAAACATCGCGGGGCTCCCGATTAGCCCGTACCTTCGTTAGTTCACGTAGTTCGTCGATTTACTTCAAGCGTTCATCGACATCAATCGAACTCTTGTGAACCTGACTGTTTTTATTTTTATTTACAAATATTAAATTTTGGTGGAAATTTGTAACTGTAGAAGAGTTGAGGGGTACATATGCAAAAACCCATAATTTAAATTGTTCAAAACTCACCTCTGATGATCGGAGACACCTTATTGTCATAACATAAATACTTTTTATACATTGTTGTTACCGGAGCAACAATATGCCCATTGTTAATAGACGTAGGCAACTAAATAAACCATCAGCTAATTTAGTCTAACAAAATAATGGGGGACGAGTGAGGGTGGTAATTTGGAAAACGCCCTTTACATGAATTAGATTAGCTTATTGCATGTGATGAACTAATTAGATGTGTATTTATATTAAAGATACCAACTCTTAAGTCACAATTTTCCGTTTATATCAAAGCAATTCGAATCAAATATAATAATCATCATATCTCATGAGTCACAATTTATAATCATATATGAATTCTGAACTACTTCCTCCTTTATTTATGAGTATCTCTTTTTGATCATTATATAAGTTTATAGTAAGTAAATCAGTATATGAGGCTGACATGTTTCAGTTTATGAAGCCTGATCTCAATGTGAAACTAATAGAGTTGAGAATCGAGGATCTCTCTGCAACAACAGAACTATGAGGGGGTCTAACTGCAATTTGGTGATAGTACAGAGGGTGTATCTGCAAAATTGACCAATATTTATCCCTCTACCTCTTAAATTTTGACTGAGAGGAGAGAGATTGAGAGGGGGATGCTAGAAAGAAAGAGAGAGAGATGGGGAAAAGGAGGGAAGAGAAACTGAGAGGAGAGAGATTGAGAGAGAGAGAGAGGTGAAAAAGATTGAGAGGAGAAAGAATGAGAGCGAGAGAGAGAGAGAGACGGGAAGGGGA